GTGCCAAAGGGTCGAGGCAACCAAGTTATTGACAATTAGGACCCTCCCCCTGTAAGAGAGCTGAGGTAGCAGCCATTTTCATTTAGACAATCTGGTAAACACTCTCCATAGCACCCTCCCAGTTCTGTCTTTGAAACTCCTCTGTTCCCAAAAAAACACCCAAAACCTCCAAGCCCTGCCTTCCCCATTTGATGCTTCCTGGTAGCTTTGGTATTTCTTTGTCTGCCCACTGCCCAACCTGCAAAGCTTCACTTTTTTCCCAGTTTACCTTTGCTGAAGATGCCCTCTCAAACAAATCTAAACTGTTACCTAGGAACTGGATATCCCTCTGGTCTTTGACGAACACATAAATATCATCAGCATATGCTGACACCAGCGAGGGCCGCTGAGGCAGCCCAGGTAACATTAGTCCTGATAGACGGGATCTCAACCTGTTCAGAAGAGGCTCAATGGCAATGGAATAAAGCTGTCCAGAGATAGGACATCCCTGTCTGATGCCTCTCAAGACCTGAACTGGACAGCTCAACGCACCCCCCACCTTCACCAGACAAGTAGCCTCCTTGTACATCAATCCCAACAGTGACACAAAACCTTCCCCAAAACCAAAAGCTCTTAAAGTGGGAAAAAGAAAACTATGATCAACCCTATCAAAAGCCTTCTCCTGGTCTAATGATATAACCCCAACATCAATATTATACAGTTTACAAAGATCCAACAAGTCTCTCATGAGAAAAATGTTATCCAAGATGGATCTGTCCGGTACGCAGTAAGACTGGTCTCTGTGAATTATAGACTCCAGAAAGTTCTTAAGCCGGTTGGCGAGCACCTTGGAAAAAGGTTTATAGTCTGTGCATAACAACGCCACCGGTCTCCAGTTCTTCAGTAAGGACAAATCTCCTTTTTTGGGTAACAGTGATAGTACTGCATGCCGACATGTCGTTGGTAACAGGCCTGCCTTTGAACACTCCTGCAGCACCTGCCACAGACCGGCTCCCAAACACTTCCAGAAGTGTTTATAGAAGTCTGCAGGCAGTCCGTCCAGTCCAGGAGCTCTCCCAGCAGCCACCTGACCCACAGCAGCGGTCAGCTCCTCCAGGGAGATGTTGGCGTCCAGGACAGCTCTGTCCTCCGGGCCCAGCTGAGGAAGGTCCTGAAGCAGCTCGTCAACACTCTCTCTGTGGTTGTCCTCCTTCCTGAAGAGGGCGCTGTAGAAGCTTACGGCATGTTGTCTCATTTCAATCGGGTCAGTCGTCATCTTACCATCAGGGAGGCGGAGACACACCATTTGTTTGGTTCGAGAGACGGACTTCTCCAGATTGAAGAAGTAGGAGGTAGAAGCATCCATGTCCCTAACACTGGTGAACCTTGACCTGACCAAAGCTCCTTTAGCTGGTTCCTGTAGAAAGGAGCCTAGTTGCTGCTTCTTCTGTTGAAGCCTGTGAGTGTCTGTGCTGGTGTGAGTGAATAGACTGTGCTCTAAATCCCTGATTTCATTTTCTAGCTCCTCAATGACCCTTTTGACTGTCACTGTGGAGTGACTTGTATATTGTTGAACAAAGACACGTATATGTCCAGTCCCCCCCATCATTACACAGTCGTTGTGATCACACTGCTGCAGGACATCTTTGAGTTTGTGGAAGATGTCTGTTCTGTGTGAGCCCTGGTTTGGAGCATAGATAAGTAATGTTTTGTATAGATGCTCTGACCACTAAAACCCTGCCTGTCACTATCTCTGTGGAGGAGATGATGTTAACATCCAGCCCAGGTGAGAACAGAACGGCTACACCTGCAGATAGGTTGGTCCCATGAGACATACTGGCCCTTCCACCACAAACCCCAGTCTACCTCATTATGTGGGTCGCTGTGCGTTTCCTGCAGGAAAACGATGTCTAGTTGTTTCTGTGCGATCATGTCTGCAGTGACCGCCCTCTTCTGTCGGTCCCTCCCACCGCTAATATTTAAAGAGCCAACACTCACCTTGTGCACTGAGAGATGACACAGAGCAGTGATGTAGACAGTTAGAAATAACAGTAACAGAAAGATTAAGTGCAACACATTCATCATTGACTCACTTAGAGGTCTTTAACCTTTTCGAACCCTTCCCTTTATCTCCCTTCTTTAGCTTCCTGAGATGCGTCATGAGCTTCTTTAGACGGAAACGTTTCTTTCCATCTAAATCCTCCAAATCCACCTCTCTCTGTAATGTCACAACACTTTTAATAATTTGTCTGCGTCTGGAAAATACTCTAAATGTCTACAGATTGTCCAAACGTGTCGTCCAGGAAGTTATTAATTTCCTCCAGCTTGTACAGATCTCCACTGTGAGACTGTGAGTCTGTGACAGAGAGACCGTCAGAGTCGTACTCCATCCCCTCCTCGACAATACAAGCCCCCCCACTCTCCTCTGGACCAGCAGCCTGACTCTGGTCAGCTTCAGCTGTCGGCCCTTTACTGCTGCCTGCTACACCTTCCCCCATACCTTCCTCTGCTCCTGCTTCCCTTTCCTCTACTTCTTTCCTTTCCTCTGTTACTTCCCTTTCCTCTACTTCTTTCCTTCCCTCTGTTACTTCCTTGCCCTCTGCTACTTCCTTTCCCTCCGTTGTGAGACTCAGAACAGCTGAGTTGTCATCAATATTTTTTTCTCCGCCTGAATCAGCTCTCTGTTCCCCGTCCTGACTGTCTGTCTGCCCGCTGAGCCCCTCCTCAGCCTTGGGCCCGGTCGGCGGGCCCAAGGCTGTGTGGCGTCTCTTCCGTCTCTTCCTGTTTCCTTACCTACATTCCCCTGGGTCCTAAGTCCCTCCATGTACAGCTTCTTATCACCCTCTATGTACCAACGTACATTTATACGTTGCATATGTGTCTGACCAAAATGATTGTTTTAGAGTATTTAAGGGGGCGACCGTGGCTTACTGGGTAGAGAGGGTTGTCCGCCAACCGAAAGGTCACCGGTTCAGTCCTCGGCTGCACCGTGTCCTGTGTCGAAGTGTCCCTGAGTAAGACACTGTACCCCTAACTGCTCCCCGGGCGCCTGTAATTGGCAGCCCACTGCTCCCTATACATACAGGGATGGGTCAAATGCAGAGGTCAAATTTCGTGTATGTATAATATGTATATGACAATAAAAATGGTTTCTTCTTCTTAAGTGTTTTGTTTATAATATGTATAATAAGCATAATTTAGTTATCACTACTGAGAATTTAACAAACAAAAAAACATGACGTAGATAGGTTTTGCAGTTTTCAAGGTGTATATTTAAATATCATCTCTTACACACATGAAGACAAAGTTATGAACACCGGCTGAATATCGATGATCAGAATCATTATAACTGTGTTATAACTGCTACTGTGTAAAGAGAACACTGCTGCTAACAAGAACCTGATGTGTTTAAAGTGTTTAAACCAAATGTTATTGACCTTTAGTTCATAGAGCAGTACTTTAAAATACAAGTGCACAATACACTACTTTTGAATTCATTATTGAACTTTGCCATAACAATGAGATTAATCGCGAGTAAATATTGTAATCGCTGCCAAGCACTAATATATATATATTTATATATATATATATATATATAAATATATATGTATATATATATATACACATATTTATATATGTATGTATATATATACATATATTTATATATGTATATACACATATATTTATATATGTATATACACATATATTTATATATGTGTATATATATACTGTATATATATATATATATATACATATTTCTACATATATATACTGTATATATATATATTTCTACACATATGCCAAAAAATACCATTTCAGCTTCATCAATGTGACAAATTTCTGCTTTTCTTAATAAAACTGAATAAAAACTTGAAACGTCTTGTTTTGTTAAATTAACAGTCAAAACATATTTAATTCACAATCACATCAATAATAAAAAATACAGCAAAAGTTTGAGAAGCTCAACATGTAATTGATTATTAAATCTGTTGTGGATTATCAACAGTTAGTTAATTGTTATGACTTGAATATTTTCATGTATGAAATAAGATGTTATTTTAAACTTCCTGCAGGTGTTCAGTGGTCACATCAACCGTCAGTGATTCAGACCCACAGCAGTTTAAAACAGGAAGTAAACAGGAAGTAGGTGTTAACATGGATCAATATGTGTCTGTGATCAGCTCCTGTCTCTCTGTCTCACTGTCTCTCTGTCTGTCTGTCTGTCTCTCTGTCTCACTGTCTGTCTGTCTCTCTGTCTCACTGTCTGTCTGTCTGTCTTACTGTCTGTCTGTCTCTCTGTCTCACTGTCTGTCTGTCTGTCTGTCTCACTGTCTGTCTGTCTGTCTCACTGTCTGTCTGTCTGTCTGTCTGTCTGTCTTACTGTCTGTCTGTCTCTCTGTCTCTCTGTCTGTCTCTCTGTCTGTCTGTCTCACTGTCTCTCTGTCTGTCTCTCTGTCTCACTGTCTCTCTGTCTCCCTGTCTGTCTGTCTCTCTGTCTGTCTGTCTCACTGTCTCTCTGTCTCACTGTCTGTCTGTCTGTCTGTCTGTCTCACTGTCTCACTGTCTCTCTGTCTGTCTCACTGTCTGTCTGTCTCTCTGTCTC